ATATATATATATATATATATATATATATACACATATATATATATACACATATATATATATACATATATATATAGGGGTATATGTATGTGTAACAAAGCTGAATGCCATACATACACACACACACACATGTATGTATGTATATGTAAATCTAGGTGTGTTCGGGTCTTTTCCCGTGTAAGATTAAGAGTATCTTGGTGACGTTTTGGTGAGGTCCCACTCACCATCCTCAGGCTGGTGCTTCTGGCTTTGTGCCAGTGCAAGCAGTGTGTGATCAGAGCTGCCATCTCTCTATATATACTGGTGGCGGGGGCTGGTGTGCTGGGCTGGTTGGCTGTGCTGCTGTCTCTTGATTGGTTGATGGAGTTGATGTTGGTATAATGGGCTGTGTGATGGCCTTGTGAGTTTTGTTGTGGAGATATCCTGGATCTTGTGCTGTAATCTTCTGGGTCATTTGTTTTGTAGTGATCTTTTTTCCATTAGCCTCTCGTGTTTTAACGGCTTGGGTAATGGGTTGTGTGATGGGCTTGCAAGTTCTTTTGTTGTGGTATCCTGGGTCCTGCATTGTTATCTCCTGGGTCATTTGTGTTTTGATCTCTTTTCCATTAGCCTCCTGTGTAGTAATGGCTTGGATAATGGGTTGTGTGATGACCTTGTGAGATTTATTGCTGTGGTATCCTTGGTCTTGTGCTGTGATATCCTGGGTCATTTGCTGCGTTGCAACTTCTTGAGTTCTTGTGGTGTAATTTCCTGAGTTTTCTGATGTGATGTCCTGAGCGGGTGGCTGTGATGTAGCATTCTGGATTTTATTCTGGCTTCGAGTTTGGGGTCTGGGTCTGTGTTCTTGGCGTGTGTCAGCTTGTTTGGTTTTGGGATCAGGGGGTGCGACAGCTGGCGAAGCAGCCGTGGTCTGTTTTCTGGATGGTGGTTGTCCTTTGTTTATAGGATGGGTTTGGGCCTGAGTCTGATGAGGGGGATTGGCAGTGGTGTTCCGTTTGTTTTGGGTCTGGTGTTGGTTTTCGTGGCTTGGACTCATTTGTTGGTCAGGGCTAGCTTCCAGATGTCTGGTAGGCAGGAGGTATTGTCCCGTCTATTCATGTTATGGGGGTGTTTCTCTATCTCGATGGCTTCTCTGATAGACCTCGCCGAAACGTCGCCAAGGTACTCTTAATCTTACATGGGAAAAGACCTGAACACACCTAGACCTACGTACCTGTACCTATGAAAATCTACGAAAACAAATATATATATATAAAGTTTGTGGATGCAAATGTTATTTCATAGAGAGTTATTGAATCAAGAGGTAAATAAATATGAAGTTTTGTAAACTAGTCTAAATTAAGACTTACAATATCAGCAGGGCAACCAATGTCCTGAAAACTTTATAACAGCAAAGATTTAACAATAGAAACAATGTCATTTACTACTTATGTCAGAGAGCTGGGTTTTAATTTGGCTTTCATTTGGTTAGCATACTAAATTGGGCTGGATACCGGTAGCCTTGACTTATTATCACAACCAAGCCCAAAATTTCTGTTGCTAAGCAAAGCAGTTATGTGATGTTTGCTTCATTTTAAGATCTTTTTTGCCACAGTTGTTAAGTAAATCCCTGTGGTTGTTAAGTGAATCATACGGTCATTAAGTGAATATGATTTCTCCCACTGACTTTGTTGGAAGCTAGATGGGAAGGTTATAATGATGACATATGACTGTGGGACACTGCAATCATCATTAAGGTAAAGGTTCCCCTCACACGTATATGCTAGTCATTCCTGACTCTAGGGGGCAGTGCTCATCTCCGTTTCAAAGCTGAAGAGCCAGGGCTATCCAAAGACGTCTCCGTGGTCATGTGGCCAGCATGACTACACGCTGAAGATGCACAGAGTGCAGTTACCTTTCCACCAAAGTGGTCCCTATTTTTCTACTTGCATTTTTACCTGCTGTCAAGCTGCTAAGTTGGCAGAAACTGGGACAAGTAACGGGAGCTCACTCCGTTACATGGCTCTAGGGATTCGAACCGCCAAACTGCCGACCTTTCTGATCGACAAGCTCAATATCTTAGCCAGCGTCCACCATGTCCCACATACCAACTGCCAAGCACCTAAATTTTGATTATGTGAACCATGATATGTTGCAATGATTCATCACAACAATGTGACTATATTGTACACTACAGTGTCTTTTAATTAGATTTATGTGTTACTTTTGCTGTGATTATTGGGTAATTTCTTCACCTGCATTAATATAAAAACACAACTGTGACTTCTCCCAGATATTCTGAAAAAAGAATCTTAGGATGTTCAAAGTAACAGTGGAGTTACTGAAATCTGACCAAGCCACTGAAATTCATGGGGGGACAAGTGTCAGTGATTATGCTATTTGAAATATTTTGGAATTTCAGATAATTGACGTTTTTTGCTCTATTGTACGTATCTGGCAAAGAAATTGTGTTCTAGTGAAAAACCCAGCCAGAGTAAAAATTGATTATTATAAAAAAGTTTTTTATTTCATGAATGCAAATGAAGTTTTTCTTTGTTTATTTAATATGCAGTCCATCCTCATATTGCAGCAACTCTGGTTGGCTTACGAACAGTTGGAGAACAATGTTTCCTCTGAAGCAACACTTTATCTGAAGAAAGAAGTAGCTATAGGTCCTTAAATGGAAACAGAGCCATTAGTAAATATAATTGATTCAATTTCCAAAATCTAGTATTTACCTAATCATTATTTAGAATTTAATATTTTCTCCCCAAAGGCTAGGAAATATGGATCAAACAATTAATTTTACTCCCCAATAAGTTGGGCAATGAGAAAAAGACTACGACAAGGCGGTCGTAATTCTGCTCTTGAGTCTCTACTTTCTTCTAAATCTGAAAAGTGGGAATATATTGGTAACATGAGGAAAGAGGAACATCTAATTTTTAAATGGAAACACGTGTGTCTTATGTTAAGTTGTTGATAAGATCTAACACTGATTCAAGAGATGTAAAAGTTGCTAACTGTTCTGGAAAGCCTGCACCTGGAAAAAGAAACTGATTTTGTTTATTTTGTTTGTTTTCACATCAACACTGGCAAAAGACATATTAAGAGTCAGTTTAATATAGTGATTAAAAGTGCTGTATTAAAAATTAGTTCTAGTTTTGTTTCAGGCATGTCAGCCAGCTAGATGTTTTTGACCCAGTTGTTCTTTCTGAATTCTAGTAACAAGGTCCTGGCAAACCACTTCCAAAAATATTGCCAAAGAACTGCAACACATGCACACACTCAGAGAGAGACAGAGAGGGGGAGGGAGAGAGAGAATAACTCTTTGCTGCCATGTGATGGTGGTTGAAAGGAATAATTTCAATTTGTACTTGGTATGCAAAAAAGTCTGGAATTAGCTGCTTTTCTGATTACTACGTTTTTTGAAAAGGCATAAGCTTTCATGAGCTGTAGCTCACTTCATTAGACGCAAAACATCATGTGCACAGTTACAGCTCATTTTACTACATTTGTTAGTTGGAAAGGTGTTTACTATCAAATTCCTCCTAAAATTTGGCTACCACAGAATAACACAAGCCCCCCCTTTTGCAATGTTTATTTGATAAGTACACAAATCAATGGGGTGGGCTTGCTGCAGAAGAAGAAATGCCCCAACATTGATATTATGACTTGTGCTAAATCTAATATCAAATAATTGGGCTTGGAATTATTGATTGTTCCACTAATATCTGCCTTCTCCCTAAAAAGACTCACAAGAGTGATTCTCTTCTTGGCTTGGCCAGAATATACTGTTTCTTTTGTTTCTTTCTTCAGCAGATGCTTCATTCTCAATGTTACACAGAAACAAAACAATACAAAGAAAATATCCATTTTGTATATTAAAAAGAAATTTGAAGACTCTAAAAATGGGAAAGAAAAAAGAAATGAAGAACTGGATTGAATAAAGAAGATCTGAAAAAGACAACAAAATGATTCAAAGATGAGAGAAGCTATGTTTTACATCTGTTTTTATTAAAGAGAAGATGAGAGGAATTTCTGAGAACATACACTGAAAAAAGTTGAATTACACAATTTCTTGCTTATGAGCAAACTGGAAATAACCCACCTTATATATATGGCAATGGTTTAACAAAGTATTTTCTGGAGTCTCAAGCCTGCTACTTAAAGGAAAGCATTATTTGCCTATACCTTATAGATGACTTGAATTATGAATTCAGTTATGTCCTTTTGAGGTTTCTACATTAGAGTTTAATGGATGTGAATTAAATCACAGCAGCAAGGTCTACACTATGTATATATAGGTACTCACTTAACAATTTCAAATGGGCCTGGAATTTTAGTCAGTAAATCATGTGGTGGTTAAATAGGTCACCCTGTGATCTGATTTGATTTTGCAATGATTATAGAGTGAGTCACTAGTCATTTAGTAAACCATATGGTCATTAAAAAATCTATTCTCAAATTTTGCTGGAGAAAAATCACATCCACGTGATTGCAAGATGCTGCAAATGATTCTCAGGGTGAGCTGATTGCCATATGCCTCAAATACAATTATGTGACCAAGGGATGGGTGAGTGTGGCAGTGGTTGTGATTTTGGGAATGAGTTGTACTGAGCTTTTGTTTTAGTTCATTGTAACTACTGTTATTAAGTGACCGGTTACTAAGCAAGAATTATCTGAACCTGGTGAGGTCCTTTCTTGCATTTAGAAATCCTGGACTTGTGTAATTGGAGAAGAATAGTAATATTTGAAATCCATGAGCCTGTATATTATCTTTTAGCTTTGTGAATGAAGCAACTCCAATGATCAAAGCTTTTAGAATTTTAATATATATAATGCTTAGTAAATCATCATAAAAAATAAAATGGAAATACATACCTTGCTATGAGGATCAGCAAACATCCTTGTGAAGATTTCACACAATCTTTTTAATTCAACACGACTGTCAAAATAACAAAATATTACTTTAGTAAAACTTCAGAGGGATGTGATGAAGAACTTCAAAAAGAAATCTATGTCCTAATTTACTTTAAAATGTTTGCAATTCCACTTTTTAAAAATATAATTTGTTAATGATCTCAAAAAATGCAAAGAATTTTTAATAATACATTGCCCTGTATTACCTATATAGCTTTGGAAACCACATTAAGCACTAGAAGCTTCTACACTGCCACATTCATGTTCCTGGGAAATTGGGAGGGGGGATTTTGTGACTGAACCAATGAAACCGTGGGAGGAGATTGTGATAGGTTTTATTGTCAAACTCCTGGAAAGTGGTGGAAATACAGTAATTTGGACTGTCATTGATTTGTTCTCTAAGCAAGCCCATTTTACCATTTGCAAATGGACTGCCTTCTGTCAAGAAGCTGGCCAAACTGTTTGTGAAGCATATTTATCGGCTTCATGGAATATCTCAGCAAGTGATATCAGACCGAGGTGTTCAATTTACTGCCAAGTTCTGGAGGGAGTTCTTGAGGTCCATTGGATCGTCCCTTTCCATCCAGCCACGAATGGATTGGCGGAAAGTATTTATCAGCAGGAAAATTGGGCCGACTTACTGTCTTATGTGGAAGTGGCTTACAATAATGCAGTACCCAGTAGCACAGGATTAACTCCTTTTCAAATAACTACCAGTATGGATTTTGTTGCCATGACTGAATTACCTAGAGAGCCACCAACGTCTATGTCCCTAAATGAATGGACTCATTAAAATGGGGGTGGGAGAATACCAAGAAAGCCTTAGCAGAAGCAGCTTAGGAATACAAAAAGCAGGTAAACACAGATCTCTCCAGTCACTTTTTCAGGTGTGAGATAAAGTGTTTCTTTCAACTAAATATCTCAGATTAAGGCTGCCAAGTAAAAAATTAGGTCCTAAATTTCTTGCTCCTTTCCCCGTAGTGAAAGTAATCAATCCAGTTACAGTTCAGCTTAGCCTCTCTTGCAAAATTTTGGGTAAAATACATCCAGTCTTCCCCAGCAGTTTATTAATAGAATAGAATAGAATAGAATAGAATAGAATAGAATAGAATAGAATAGAATAGAATAGAATAGAATAGAATAGAATACTTTATTGGCCAAGTGTAATTGGACACACAAGGAATCTGTCTTGGTGTAAATACTCTCAGTATACATAAAGAAAAGGTACATTCGTTAAGAATCAAGAATCATAACGTTACAACACCTGATGATAGTCATAGGGTACAATCAACAATCAAATCATACTAGGAAACAGTCAATATAAATTGTAAGGATACAAGCAGCAAAATTACAGTCCTACAATTACAAGTGGGAGGGGATGGGTGATAAGGAGTGATGAGAAGATTAACAGTAATAGTAGTGCACACTTTGTAAATAGTTGAACAGTGTTGAGGGAATTATTTGTTTAGTAGAGTGATGGTTTTCAGGAAAAAATTGTTCTTGTGTCGAGTTGTTCTGGTGTTCAGTGCTCTATAGCGTCGTTTTGAAGGAAGGAGTTGAAACAGTTTATGTCCGGGACTTGAGGGGTTTGTAAATATTTTCACAGCCCTCTTTTTGACTCGTGCAATATACAGGTCCTCAATTGAAGGCAGGTGGGTAGTAATAGTTTTTTCTGCAGTCCTAATTATCCTCTGAGATCTCTTTCTGTCCTGTTGGGTTGCAGAACCAAACCAGACAGTTATAGAGGTGCAGATGATAGACTCAATAATTCCTCTGTAGAACTGTATTAGCAGCTTCTTGGGCAGTTTGAGCTTTCTAAGTTGGCGCAGAAAGAACATTCTTTGTTGTGCTTTTTTGATGATGTTTTTGATGTTAGGTGTCCATTTTAGGTCATGTGAAAAACCAGCTGTCAGTTCCAATTTGAGACCCATACTGGCTGCCCCCCCTCAAGCCTATGTTAATGCAAGGTGAGACACATGAAGTGAAGAAAATTCTTCATTACAGATTACAGAGAGGCCGTTTACAATGCTTAGTTCACTGGAAAGGGTACCCTTTGTCAGAAGCTACTTGGGTAAAAAATTGGGATTTGAAAGCGGATAAATTAGTTAAACAGTTTTATGACAAAGTCCCTGACAAGCCAAAGGGTCCTCCCGGAGGGGGGAGAGTGGGTTAAATAGTTTGGAGAATAACATATTAATCCCTTGTTGCATTTTGTCTATTTTGGAGAATAATTTATTAATCCCTTGTTCCGTTTTGTCTATTTTTTGGAATAATGTATTAACCTCTTGTTGCGTTTTGTCTATTATATTTTCTAAGACATGCTTTTTCCTTCAGGTGGGGGGGGGAATGCCTATCAGCTTTGAAAGCCATATTAGCACTATGCTGCCATATTCATGTGCCTGGGAAATTGGGAGGCGGGATTTTGGTTGTAGTTAGACATAATAGCATTCTTCTTTACAGTCAAGGTCATGTTATTCCTGCATCTGGATGAGTGGGAATGGAGGGTGATTGGGCCATATGATGGAGTGATGGGTGCAGGGGATGGATTTTGTGATTTTTAAATATTGGAAGAAAACCAGGAACTCTTAGTTTCAGGTTTTCCCAGATGTGCCAGTTGGACAACTCTAATAAATCGGAACTTTGAAAAAAATGCTTGTCTCGAAATTTTGATGTTGGAGTTTGTTTTCCTGGAATGCTGGCATATAGAGAATATTCTAGTTTTAATCTTAAAAAAAATTCTGTAGAAAACATGAGTTGCACTGATGTTTAATTTATCACATAGTTCAGGGGTGTGTTGAGGTACTTCCTCGTTAGGAGAATGAGCGCATACAGGGAGACGTATTTGAGAGGAGTGTTTGAATAATACACATACAGCACACAGATACACTGTACAGTAAATGTAGGTTTTTACTTCCAGAAACGTTAAGCAAAGTCCAAAATAGGCAGTCCAAAGTCATTCACAGGTAAATCAGTCAGTTTTCAATCCAGGGATAATCCAAATATCCAAGTCCAGTGTCAAAAAACAGTTCCATATCAGACTTACATCAAATCCAGTAATATCAGTCAATTAGGAAAAATGGAGCAATGGCGATACTTTCCAACAGAAGGAAACAGAGACGGAGACACACTCTCTTCTGAGATTAAGACTAAGACAATCCAGGTTTCTGGCTCCATCTTATGGCTGTTTGAAAAACCACACCCAATTGCAGTTTTTGCAATCTCTTAAAGACATAGTACTAAAATGTTTATCCTGGTTTATATATTTCTAACCCAAATACCTGTTAGGTGACTTATATTCCTAACAGGGTGTATTGATTTCATTGAGAGCCACATTAGGATTGTGTTTGACCTTGGGGTATGTGTGGGGGGTAGCCATAGTAGGTGTGGCCAGTTCGACATCACTTATGTCGGGGGCACATGTGGTGGCCTGACTGGATCCATTGTCTCCAGCAGAGGAAGGCGAGACCCAGGACAGCGCCAAATCTTTGTCCTCCAGAAGAGTCTCCCCGTATCTCCCATGCCATACAGATGACCCTGGACTGCAGTGCAGGTTATCCAGAGCCCTAAGCAGAGGGACAAGTGGAGGACAAGTGCTCAGCCTGTCCCTCAAGTTCCAGGGCACCAGGACCCCCCAGACGAGCCCTACTTCCCTGAAGCATTCCCAGCCATGCTTACCTCTTCCTTGAGGCAATTGCTGCTGTTCTCGCTCTCCTTGGCCAGGTTGCTCTTGGTGTGTGTGGAAGGGCAAAGTGTATGATCAAATGCTACTTTGTGTAATCAAAATGTTCAAAGTTATGATCAAATGCATGCAGCTTTCCTGAACTCCATTTTTGTCTGCGACAGCCTCCTGCAGTGCTATGCTAGCTAAAATGAACCCAGGAAGGCAGCCTCCCAAGCTCCATTTTGGCTGGCAGAGTCATTGTGGACCAGTCTATTGCCTATTTTCAGCCTCCGCATCCCATTATCAGTCTCCATGCGCCCCATTTTTGGCCTCTGCGCACCCCATTTTTCACCTGTTCTGATCCCCGCTGCCTGAAATGGGGTGAAAATAGGGCGTGCGGAGGCCGAAAATGAGATGTGGAGGCCAAAAATAGAGTGCACAGAGGTGGCAATAGGTGATGGCAATCCCTGCAGCTTGAAACAGCTGATTGTTGGGAGGCCAATCCTCCTGACAGCCCGCTGCTTGTGCTAAATCAGGCTGTGCTGAAGCTGACCAGGCTGCTTGCTATTTGCTACAAAGAGACAAATTGCTGGGAGGCAGAGGCAGATTTTTTCCCCTCTTGTTTTCCTCCCCAAAAGCTAGGTGCATCTTATACTTCAGAGCATCGTACACTCCGAAAAATATGGTAACCTTGGAAGGCTATTATATACAGTGGTGTTTGAGAATCCTTTTGAATTTCAGTATTTTTATATATATAGGACCTAAAATGTGATCTGCAAACTATTTCAATATTACTATTGAGACATTAGATGTAACAGTAATGACTATTCTTAAGTGAATGTCATAGTTGTTAAGTAAACTAATTGTTTGCTTTGGGTCAATTTTGTCAAAAACCAGAAGTAAATGCTAGTGTTTGGCAAAAACATTATAAAATGTGTTTACATGACTTTGAGATACTGCAAATAGTCAAAAATGCAAGCCAGTTGTCTAATGCAGTCACATGACCATATTGCAAATACCCATGTGGAGTCATAGCTTCAAACAATCACCAGACAACTGATCGTAAGTCGAAGATACCTGTATGTTGGCCAAAAGCCACACTTAAAGAAGATAAGATGCTTTTGTCGTCTCTCATTCCTTTGCTTTCAAGAATAGCTGCTTCTGTTTGATGGCCACAAGATAATCCTTCCAAAAAATTTATTTGCAAAAGGGCTAATCAGTCTTCCTTCAGATTAATATAGTAAGTAATATCCAATTTTTTAAAATGAAGCAAATTGAGCTAGTTATTTTATGATACACAAATCTACTTTAAGAAAGAGGCCAAATTTAAATGAATATATCTCCTGAGTCTTGCTATCACAGGTGCCTTTGACCTATAACATTCTACAATTCCATGAACTATATGGATTAGGTCCCATGGCACAACTATTCCTGTGGAAAATGTTATGAGCCAAAATTCATGGCTATGTTACATATAATAATTGAACATAGAATACAATGAACATTTGAAACATAATTATGCACGAGTTAGTTTACTTCAGAAAATGTATGCAATACTTAGATCAATCAATGTCATAGGACTAATTAAATTTCTTACAGGCTTGGGTAGTAGGATTACTTCATCCTCTTTCCCAGGACTGAAAGTTAATATCTGTGTTTTGTAATAGCGTTATTTTCTTTGTTTAGAATAGAATTCTTTATTGGCCAAGTGTGATTGGACACACAAGAAATTTGTCTTGGTGCAAATGCTTTCAGTGTACACAAAAGAAAAGATACATTCATCAAGAGTCAAGAATCATCAGGTACAACACTTAAAAATAGTCATAGGGTACAATAGGCAATCAAATCATACCAGGAAACAGTCAATATAAATCATAAGGATACAAGTGACAAAGTTATAATTATACAGTCACAAGTGGGAGGGGATAGATGATAAGGAGTGAGGAGAAGTAATAGTAGTGCAGACTTTGTAAAATAGTTGAACCGTGTTGAGGGAATTATTTGTCCTTGTGTCTAGTTGTTCTGGTGCACAGTGCTCTAGGTCATTTTGATGGTAGGAGTTGAAACAGTTTATGTCCAGGATGTGAGGGGTCAGTAAATATTTTCGCAGCCCTCTTTTTGTTTCGTGCAGTATACAGGTCCTCAATGGAAGGCAGGTAGGTAGTAATTGTTTTTTCTGTAGTCCTAATTATCCTTTGAAGTCTCTGTCTGTCTTGTTGGGTTGCAGAACGAAACCAGACAGTTATAGAGGTGTAGATGATAGACTCAGTAATTCCACTGTAGAACTGTATCAGCAACTCCTTGGGCAGTTTGAGCTTTCTGAGTTGGCAAAGAAAGAACATTGTGCTTTTTTGATGATGTTTTTGATATTAGGTGTCAATTTTAGGTCTTGTAATATGATACAATCTAGAAATTTGAAGGTCTCTATGTTGATACTGTGTTGTCTCGTATTGTAAGAGGTGGTAGTATGGGAAGGTTTCTCCTAAAATCTACCACCATTTCTACGGTTTTGAGTATGTTCAGTTCCAGATTGTTCTGGTCACACCACGAGGCAAGTTGTACAACCTCCTGTCTGCATGCGGATTTGTTGTTGTCTTGAATGAGACCAATTACTGTTGTATCATCTGCAAACTTCAGAATTTCAACAGATGGATCGTTTGAGATGCAGTCATTGGTATATAGGGAGAAGAGAAATGGAGAAAGTATGCAGCCTTGGTGGGGGGCAGGGTTGAGCTAATTGTACAGGTATTAGATGTGATTTACCTAGTTTCACTTGCTGCTTCCTGTTTTTTAGGAACTTATGATCCACTTACAAATGTGTTCAGGTACTGCTAGCTGGTTTAGTTTAGTTAGAAGAATGTCTGGAATGATGGTATTGAATACTGAACTGAAGTCTACAAAGAGGACCCTTGCGTAGGTATTTGGAGATTCAAAGTGTTGTGGGATGCAGTGCAGAGTCATATTAACAGCACCAACTGTTGATCTATTTGTTCGGTATGCAAACTGCGTGGGATCTAACAGCAGATCTGTGATGGTTTTCAGGTGGGACAGCACTAGCTTTTCAAAGGTTTTCATGTTAGAGCAACTGGTCTGTAGTCATTCAGTTCCCTGATGGAGGGCTTCTGTGGTACTGGGATGATAGTAGTTTTGAAGTAAGAAGGAACATAACACACCTCTAGTGATTTATTGAAGATTCGGGTGAAGATTCGGGCCAATTGGTTAGCACAGACTTTTAAGCAAGAAGGAGTTATCTTGTTTGGCCCTGGTGCTTTCGTATTTTTGTTCTGAAAATCTTCTTAGATCCTGTCTCTATGAAAAGTTCAATTTTATGGACTACTTGGAGACATGGGATATCCTTTGGATCTGAGTGTTTGTTAAATGCAAATTTGCCTAATTGATGTAATTTATGATGCATTATATAATTTGAGTAATTATGTAATTATGTGTATTATATTTTCTTCATTGCTTCAAAAACAATGGACTGAAATACATTCCTGCACAAACTTTAACAGTTATTAAGTGACTTTCTGACAGGAACTTTAAAAAGCAATGTAACAATGCCTTTGAGTACAGATTGCAAGATAATCATTCTACATATAGTACCAATTGGAGGTTTTTATAATTGAGAGTGAGGGTATTACCATGTTTCTCCAACAATACGACCTCCCCCCAATAGAAAGACCAAGCATGTTTTCTAGGCATAAAAAGAAATTAAGCCCCTCCCCCAATTTTAGGCCTGTTTTAAAACATGCAAAATGGGGGGAAGGGCAGAGGGACTTGCCATTAGGAGCGCCCCGTGGGCAGCAATTCCTCACCACCAGCTGCTCCTAATGGGCGATCATGGCAGAGCGCAGAGAGCTCCCTACTCCTGCCAAGCACCTTTGCAGCAGACCCAAGACCTTCAGCGCCCGCCGCTGTTGATTTCCCTACTGCCCATGCCGTCGGCGTGTTTGGAGCTGCCACTTCCACATTTGGAGCACCACTGCTGTTTGGAGCACTGCTGCTGTTTGGAGCTGCTGCTTCCGCATTTGGAGCTGCCACCATGTTTGGAGCTGCTGCTTCCGTGTTTGGAACACTGCCGTTGTTTGGAGCACCACCGCTATTTGGAGCGCCACTGCCACTCCAAACACGGCAGCAGCTCCAAACACGGAAGCAGCAGCTCCAAACGTGGCAGTGGAATGGGCAGAAGGGAAAGCAACAGCGGCGGGTGCCAAAGGTCTTGGGTCTGCAGCAAAGGTGTTTGGTGGGAGTAGGGAGCTCTCTGCGCTTCACCATGATCATCCGTTAGGAGCGCCTGGTGGCGAGGCTGCCTGCGGGGCGCTCTAGATGAGGGTGCAGGGGAGGGAATTAAATCACCCCCAAAAGACGGCCTAGCCGGGCTCAAAAAAAATATAAGACCCGGCCTTATTTTATGAGAAACACAGTAAATTTATTTTGTCTTCGAAAGTACCATCACTCAAGCAATCTCTCATCTGCACAGCATTAAACACGATAGCTTGTTCTTCTATTCTTATCAGTGCTTATCTGAATCCTTTCAACATAGCAGTCAAACTTAGAAAAATATACTTTATTGTTATTTTTTTCTCCTGAACTCAAATATCACAATGGGGGAAATCTGGGCATTTGTTTTAGATTGCTCAAATATAATTCCCCTGAAAATCAAATTGTATAAAAATTAAGCTTAGGGTTAAGCGCAAGTATTTAGGTACTTTCGTTCTGTTATTGCTGAGTTCTGCAGCCGTCCGGATGTACATCTCTCACAACCAAGTCCAGGAATATACCTTCTGAAATGACGTGGTTTAGATGATTGGATTATTAAGTTGGAAAGCACTCCAGGTTGAGAATAGGGGTTGTTGAGTAAAACTAGAATGGGTTGAACTTGCACTAACTCTGGATACCAGTGGCATTATGGAACACTGGACTGCTGAGTGCCTGACAGCAGGAGCAGCTGTGATTAAGCTGTATGAGAAGGGTATGGGTGGTTGTTCGATTGATTCCTTGGCCAGGAAGATAAAGGGTAATGGTCTGACACACAAAAGATTGTGCACTGGATCTAGTTTTTGTCTCAGGATAAGAAATTTGCAGTTGGGGTACATTACAATCAGTCCTGTCATGGTGAGATCATTTTGACTACCTTTCAGTTTGCTATTACTCCCTCTACCTATGGTGTATAAGCATGTCTTTCTGTAACAATGCATGTCCTCTGGAACAGTACACTAGAGGTCTGAATGGTCTCTATTCTGTTCTTGAAGACCTGGTTCTTCTCCCAGGCTTTGAGTGCAAAACTCCTCTGGGATGATGCATATACAAGATTGAGTATAAATAGTACCTTCTCATTAACCATTTTTTCTGATTGTTTTTATTCTTGATTTTTATTGTTTGCTGCCTGAAGTCACCTAGAGTTAGGTGGTCTTATAAATATAATTTAAGATTATAAAGTTACGTTTTCTACTGAAAGCAGTTAGCACGATTGAGACTAAAATCTGCATTATAAAAGGTAATACTTTTATATTTGAGTACAATGAAAATAAATTTCTTACCTTAATGTCCTCTGATTTTTTAATAAATTTTGTAGACCAAGAAGACCTTCTTTTCTCTCTGACCAGTTGGAGCTTGCACAGCGGTTAAGGACCTCAGCGACATCCTCTGTCTGTCGCATATAGGTGGGTATTGTGCCATTCCGTGAGCTATAGGATCTTTCTGAGCAGGCACTGGAAGCATCACTGTTAGCATCATCATCAGAGTACATTCCATAAGATTCATACCTCCTTCGAACTGGCTTTTTCTATTATACAGAGAAAAATCATAAGATAAACAATGGCAAAATAAGCTCCTTTTATCAGTCAGTTCAGAAGTTCAATTTTACAGATCCTACTACTATCTTCAGATATCACTAAAAAGAGGAAATGCTAATTGTTATTTATATGCAAAAAGAAATATTTAAACTAAATTAAAATGACATTCTCCCCAGTTATTATAACTGCTGTAGGTGAGATAATATGCAGCAGATGTTTTAGTGATTTTACATTATAGTTTGTCCTGCTGGGACTACATTACTTAAAAAAAACATACAGACAAATATTTTGAATTTACTTACATTTAAACCCATATAGACTTATTCAGAATGTTTTGGTAATTTAAAACATGTATCTAGAATATGAAGCCTGTTTATCAAAATGGTGTTTTGTTTATATATTATAAAATCTGTCTGTCTGTCTATCTATCTCCCAATATAGGAAAACAATAATAGTTATACCTTTGTCCGAATGTCTCCTAACAGCTGAAAGCATTATAGAAAAAACAAATGTTATGAATATAAACACTGAGTAGCTTTTTAGCAGGTAGAATCAGTGTATACACACACAGGCACACATACAACACACACACACACACACACGGGATGGAGGGAGGGAGGGAGGATGCATGTATAGCACAAGAATTCAGTTTTGATATAACCTGAATTCCTGTTGAAGCCACCAGATTCTTACTGTGAGATCAAAGAGCAGAATGGAAAAAAAACTGAAATAGGTGAAGTAGGGCTTATAAAGAAGGTGACATGTGTCATGAGATCTAATTAAATTAACTCAGCTGGATTTCTCAGCCTGTGAATTGTATTTATATTTATGTTTTAAAGTAACAATATGTAGCTAACACTACTCTCTTCAAAATTATGCATAATCCTTTCTGACACAAGTACTACAGAATACAACACATTTACAGACATTATCTTTTATCTTATAAAACAAGTAGAAGACAAGCCTGGGGTTTCAAAGATCATACAGTCTTAAGAAAAGCATGTTTATATAAAGAAAAAAGAGATGTACTAATACATTAGGAAAGAAACATCATTTAACTTGGCAGAATCAATAATCAAATTAGACAATAATATAATAAAGCATAAAAAATCAAAAATCCTACTTTGTTATCCCCAGAAAAACCTACCAAGGCATCTGCTACTGCTTCTTCAACATCTGAGCCTGTGTTTAAGACACGCATGGCACTAACTGATGAAGATAATCGGCTTGATTGACTAATTCCAAAACCTGAAATAAACAGTATAAAGAAACAATTAATTTGACTTGACTAGAAAGTTTAATATATTATTTTTAAAAATGGGAATAGAATATTTGAAAACGAACAAATATCTGAAATATATAAATTCTATCCCTTTTGGTTCCTTATTACTAATCCCAGATGAAATTTGCTTTATTAAGTCAGGAAAGTGTAATAGCCATTTTGGCACAGTATACTAACTAAACCAATAGGCTCTAATCTAGACAATGTTACATGCATATGAAGCAATTGTATCTGCAGCTGAAATTCTCCTTCATTTTTTCCAAAGTACCTTTATTGTTAGATGTGAAAATAACTACATTTTTTAGGATTATCTATAGTAAAAACTACAAAGAAAGTTTGATCTAATACCATCAATATCCAATTTAAGTTTATAAATTGTAGCATTTGCATGATGAAGTCAGCTATGTGTTATCTTCTCTTTCTCTCATGTGTTATCATGTCCTCCTTGAAAAGAACTATGTTTACCAAATTGAGTTCCCAAAATATCCTCATAAAATTGAATTGCTCTGTATTGTTAACACTTAAATGCAAATGTAAATGCATTTGTTAGTTTGGTTACTTTATTGTGGCTTCTATAATATCAAAACAAAATTCTATTGATGGCATAGTTATATAGGAACTCAAAGACTGACAACTTATAAAAATCTCCTATTAAAATGTGTTCAGTGTGGTGTTGCTGGTTTAGTAATTATGAACCATATTAAAGAACTTGGACAATATAAGCTGTATCACTGTGTATGTAAAAGCAACATGCATTAATAAAGCTTTAGAAATAAAGGAGAATGAAACAAAAAAGGCAACATTCATCTTAAATTAGGAAGAAAAAAAGTTTAGGGTATATCGAATAAAAACATTGTTTCATATACTTCAAATATCCCAATACAAGCTAAAGTAGAAAACAATAAAATAGACTATATGGGAAACCAAATATGGTAAAAAATAATCCAGGATGATGGCACAAATGATAGCAAAAGAGTACTCATCCTTCACCTGTAGCCCCATAAACATCTGGAGAGTAGAGAGCACCAGTAGATCTGGAGTGATGCCTGGAAGCTATAATAACAGGATCATATGAACCCTCTCTGTTATAATAATACAGAACAGGAAAACTGCAGAGAGAGCAATGAAGCAAGTTCTAGACAAAATGAGAAATCAGCCTGCCTCTGGAGACCGATTTACAAGGTGAATAGTAACCAAGGGTGAAATTACAATGACTGTTTGTTGTGGGACGTCTAAAACAACTTATAGCTTCTAAGGTCAACCACGTGTGTCCAACTTCTGCCAAGTTATATTCAGAACTGTGCTACTGAAAGGTGTTCAGAATACTGTTAGTGGTAACATCAGTATAAAACAGTAACAAGGCTAGTGGATGAAATAAGTATGTTTACAGGACTCTGAAGTGGATGCAAAGGAGACTGTAAGTGATATTGGGGATGGAAAGATAATCATTTATCTAATTGGATTTACTAAGGCATCAAAGCTGTATTAACATTTCAAACTACGAGGAAGGCAAAAAGTAAAAGTCCTATGGGCACTTCTATGTTGTTTCTCTGACAAGAATATGGAACTCACTGTTACAAGATTCATGAGGGATTTCTCTCTCCCACTTTATTTGGTTAGATTCTAGCTTTTTTCACAGTCCAAATATTAACCGCGTCTTATCCCTCCAAACTTTACAGATCAGCTAAGCTTAATTACATTGTAAAAATGCTACAAGCTCGAAATGACCATTCTGGGCAAGGGTTATTCACAGTAACACCCTTGAAGCAGGTGGAGTACAAGAACTGGTTTAGAAGGTTAGGTGGTAGTCCATGATGATTGCATCTATCAGCCAATTTACACACAAAATGAGTCAAAGCGATGAATATACATAAAAAAATTTAAAATTAAAATTAATCTCCTTAGCTAATTTATATATAGATTAAATGGCATGGAGGTAACAATGGGTACTAGCATTTTACTTATTCTTGTGGCTACTGAATGAAAATGGTTGCAGTATCCTGGGGATCACATGATCGCCATTTGCAACCTTCCCAAAGGGTTTCCAACAAGTGAAGTCAATTGTGGAAGCCAAATTTACTTAATGACCATGGTAAAAAAGGTTGTAAACTCAGATGAAATCAATGACCATCTTATTTAGCAAGGGAAGTTCCAGTCCCAATTGTGGTTGTAAGTTGAAGACTACCTATAGAAAGCATATATCCTAAAACAGATTAATAAAGTGCAAACCAATTTATAATTTTATAAAGAAGATGCAAGAATTGGAAGTAATCAATTTTAAATTTTGGCATGAAACTATATTCTTGTTTGCTAAAATACGATTATATTTTTTATTTAGTTTAAGTGTTTCTAAGTAATATTGACTTCATTGAAGACACTTTTACATTAAACAATTATCTAAAATATCAAGCAGAGATTAAATCAAAACAAACCTAATATTTAGAGTAAAATCATAACAAATTTAATACATTACAAAAAAGTAATGAATAAAATTATGCATCATAGAAACAAAAGATACACCTACCACCTCAGTGTACAGTCCAGAGGTGAACGACTATCATTAGTTTTTCCCATCAAATTTCATTCCCCTGCATTTAACAAGAACTTCCAAACTTGATGAGATTGGACAAGAGACTTTCTGCTAAAATTACTGCTTACATGCAGAAGATTTTCAGTTTAATAAAAATTCATCAGAAACATATATATTGAAGAAATTACCAATGTATGCAACAAAACTTTAGGAATACTTATGCATTATGCCTTTGGATTGTGTAATTACTTTACAATTCCACAGCCAAAGTAGGCAAATCACATGTCTTTTATGCAGAGAAATATTGTTATTTTTATTTCAGTTTATATTAGCAGATAATCATGAGCAAACAACCATGCGTAACAAGCTCTCCATGTACTTACCAAGGGGTGCAAAAGAGCGAACAGGGCTTGTATCCCTGCTACTTTCCCGACTGGCTTCCCGACTGCACCCCTGACTTACACTAGGCCGAGGAATGCGACTACCTCGAGCTAATATAATTCAGGGGACATACCAACAGCAGCAAAAAAAAGGGTAAGACACAGAAAAAAATCACATTTCAATGTAATACCAAAGCACTATTTATTATTTATATTATATTATATTATATTATATTATATTATATTATAAATATACACACATATACATACATATATTCATATATTCATATATGTATGTATGTATATGTACATACATATATACATACATACACATATATATATATATTTGTTTTCTTAAGTTTTCACAGGTACTTACATGTATGGTATTCAGCT